TATATATATATATATATATATATATATATATATATATATATATATATATATATATATATATATATATATATATATATATATATATATATATATTCATATGTGTTTGGTATGGTGAGTGAGAAGTTCTATATATTGTCCCTGAGTGCACTGCTCCGGTTTTGATGATCGTGTCGTGTTGTGTATGGGCGTACTTTGTGAGTGTAGGTACACGGACTCAAGTATTGTAAATCAAGTATTGTAAACCCTTTAAACACTTGAGTGTGAATCAGACACTTTCTGTGGCTCTTGTACCATTCGTGTACCATTGGTGTCGCACGTGTAAATCTCATAAAGCAAGGCAATTGCGACTATTTTTGGCATTTTCATGCCATATCCGATATCTATAGGTATATTGGATCTTTACTAGGATTCTGTTACATGATATGGGCGTAGTCTAGACTAATCTTGACAATCTTGTACTATATCCGGTATCCCACAGTATGAATATGCAACCGCAGCCGCTCTTTGGGCTCAAATCGCTGTGGCAAATACTCACCAGCGATGGCAGCCTCCCCAAGTCTTTAGTAGTGAGTGCCATGGAGAATTTTCTCGAACTCCTAAAGTGTCCCCAGGTAAGTTTGCTTGTATGTACACGATGTCATGTAGCCAAGAGTATGTGCACGGGTAGGCTTGTGCTGCTTGCCTGTATGGGTATACTTGTATGCGTGTGTATGGATGTGCTTAAATGCGTGTATTTGTCCATGAGTGACAGTATACTGTGGGCGTGCATGTGGTTGTATCACCTTTTGACATGTGCTTGTGCTTGCATCATCCAACATGTGTTTGAGACCGCAGCTGATCGAATCAGAGCCCTATGACCCTAGAACCCTAGAACCCTAAAAACAGATCGAATCAGAGCGATCAATTGTTCGTCTCCTCTGCACATAGCAGATTTGTCACATACCCCATTGCATTGCACAGGATCATACTACATACGTTCACACATGTATGTTTTAGGATTTGGGGTGTAGTGTTTAGTAGTGACATATGTATGAACAGTTATAATTATAACTCTCTGTACACCTTGTATTCCCCGCACAGTTCATGGCTCTGAGGTGCACGTACCTGCTGCGTTGTGTGCACACCCTGAAGGCCCACGCCTCCAGCACGTCCGAAAATTATATAAATAGCACCAGCGATACCCTCGCCCTGGCCAAGCACACCTCCATGAACCACGGGCACATGCTAGTCACTACCACCGTGTGCGAAGCCTTAAAGCGGATCATAGACGAGTGTGAATGGGACGAAAGCGATGTGCTGACAGACGGCGCCGGTGGGGCGAGTGGCCTGGATGTGAGTCAGGACACAGGGCCGGAGACCACCCCTTCTGGCCTGGTCGGTGGCGGAGATGCTGCGGAAGGGCTGAGCGCAGAGGCCGTCGAAAAGGAACGGAGTGCGTTCAGGCTGTTGATGAGATGTAGCTCACAGAGTGAGGTGCTGGGTGTGTTGCAGGACGCGTACAATGTGGTCAGTGAGGTGGTTAGCGGCGTGGAGAGGTATGTTATATGGTTACATATGTATTGGCATATGCTTGTATGTATATCGTCGCATGATTGCGTGCTGGTGGACATGTTTGTATATGATTTAGTAGTCTATGTGTGCCGATGGTCAGGTACTGTACGAAGTTTTCAGTGTGTATACTATAGCATCAGTGAGTCATCACGC